GCCCAGCGGGGATCTGCAAGCCGAGGCAGGCCGTGGCTGGCCAGCTACCACCGGAAGTGAGAAGAAGCCAGAGGATTCTCCCCAGAGCCTTCAGAGAGAGCGTGGCCCTGCTGACACCTTGGGTTTCCGGCCTCTAGATTTGAGAAAATACATTCCTGTTGATAGAAGCTGCCCAGTTGAGGGTGACCACAGGGAATGACACACTCCCCGAGGCCAGACCTCATGGGTCTTTGCTGCAGACTGAATTGTGTCCCCTGACAATCTGTATACGGAAACCCTAACCACCAATGTGATAGTGTTTGGAGGAGGGACCTTGGGAGAGAATTAGGTTTAAATGAGGTTGGGGGATGAGGTCCCCTTGATGGGATTAGTGGCCCTATAAGATGAGGAACAGACCAGAACTCCTCCCTCTCCCTCTCTGCCACCTGAGGACATGGCAACAAGGAGACCACCTGCAAGGCAGGAGGAGTGCCCTCGCCAGCACCTGACCACGCTGGCACCCTGGCTTGGACTTCCAGTCTCCAGAGCTGCGAGCAGCAAACACCTGTCGCTCAAGCCCTCCAGGCTGTAGTGCTTGGTGAGGGCAGCTAGGGCTGACTCTCAGACTTGCTGACCACTGCTTCTCTGGCACGAGGCACCACATCTGGCACACAGTAGGTGCACAAGTACATTTTTTTGCTCAGTGAATGAATAAATGAAACTACGGCTATCCTTGTACAACTCCAGGGGCAATGAGTGAAACAAAAGAGAACGCTCCAGGATTGGGATTTAATGACAAAAAAAAAAAAAAAAAGAGAGAGAGAGAGAGAGAAAGAAAAGAAACGAGGCGAACACTCTCACAGAGGTGGCGCCTTTCCTTTTTCATTTTTTGAGGTCTTTAAGGAGTGGCCAGGTTTTTTATCTTGGTGGGTCAGCATCGGCCCAATATTGGCAGAAACTCCAATATTCTCTGCACAGCTGCTCCGCGGCTCCTGAAAATACAACTCCGAGGACTTTTTCTCTCACGACAAATCTATCCAGTTGGCCCTCTTCCAGGAGCCCTGGAGGAGGAAGGCTACCGTGCCGTGTGGGGCCCTGGGGCGGCCATGGTAGGGCATTCTTTATGGGGCCAGGAGGAGGGTGTGCGGCAGTGCCATTGCCACTCTGGGTCACCCTGGTCAGCCCCAGACAGGTTTTCCTACCTCGACTCCAGGCCTTGTTAGAAAAGGCCCAGGAAGAATGGGAATAAAATGTAAAAAATGAAGTAAAGTGAAGGGGGAAAGAAAGGAAGCGTATAAAACAAAATAATTGCAACAATATAAAAAGCGCATGTAGGCACCATAAAGAGCGATCGGATTGAAAGCTGCTGATATAGCTGAATCCATAAAAGTGTGCTCTAAGTTGTTTATTACATGCCGGGGCGCGCAGGTACCGCGGCCCAGATTAATGGAGCACCGGGGGAGACAGACAGTTAGAGCCCAAGCGGGAGCGTGCGCTGGGCAGCCAGGTAGACAGAGGGCCCCAAGGGAGGCGGACTCTGGCAGGGTTTAGAAACGTGGGGGCCGCCCCAGGGCTTCAGGGCTGGGGGGTGAGAGGGGGAAGGTGGGAGGCTGACATCCAGAGAAGGCCCTACAGCATGTGCCCAAGCCAAAGTGAAGGTCTGTGCGGCTCAAGGGGACCCTGGCAGGGCGAAAGAGGGTCTAGGCGTTGGGGAAGCCCAGGTTTGAGCCTCTGTCTGTCCCACGTGTCCTGGGTGGTGATCTTGGTAGGTTGTATCATCCCACTGAGTCTCAAGTTTTTCAGTGGCAAACTAAGGATAAAAATCACCATCTCTGGGCCAGCCAGTGGTTCAAGTCCCGGACCCAGTGGCTTGAAAAACATGCCAGATATGTGTGCATACATGTGCAGAATCCTGAGAGAGGAATGACAGAGAAGGGGTTGGGACACTGTCATCCACTTGGGGGATACTTTCTCACTTTCTCTCTGTCTCTGGTGAGTGCCTGCACCTTGTAGCAAATTAAAAAAATAAAAAAAATATAAAAATCACCACCTCCCTGGGCTGTGTGTGTCCAGGCCCCAGCTGGGTGAGTGCTTGGTACGTGAGTGGTTGGAACCTCTCCGGGTTGTGAACCAGGCTCTGGAGATGCCCCCTGGGTGAGACGGGCAGGGTCCTGTCATCATGGATGACAGGGTCTGAGAGGGCCAGGCTATGGCTGGCAGGCATGACACTGGTGCTGGGGAGGAGGGCACGTGGAGGGCTAAACTGGGCCGGGGCGAGTGCAGAATGTCTGGTGCATAGTAGGAGCCCACGAAATGACAGTCTCCCCTCCTGGGGCGTTGCCTGCCTGTGCTCAGGGGCGCTCTCCCCTTCACCGCTGGAATGACGGATGCAGGGACTTTGGGGTCACACATCTTTGGGGGCTCCTTGACTGGGGAGGGGAGTCCAGGCAGGCTCATCCTCACAACAGACCAGGCAAAGCCTCAAGCACTTCCCGGGCACTGGGCTGGGACCCAGCTTCATGGGAGGTGGGCGAACTTGGGCGGGACTCAGAGAAGCAAGGAGGGGGAAGGACGTTGCGGAAAGGGAGCACCCTGTGAGCGAGAGTGTAGGGGTACTGCGGGCAGCCCCAGAGCACTAGGAGGGGGTGAGGAAACACCATCCGCAGAGCCAAAGTGCTGGTCCTGCTGAGGCTGCCCCCCTCGGCTAGTTGGTCACAGTGCTTCTCCTGACTGAGCCGCAATGTCCTTGGACTCCTTAACACCCTGCAACCAGCAGATCAGAGCTGAAACTCCCTTCCCCTTTCTGCTGGGGGCACGAGAGAGCTGGTTGGACTGGAGAGGCTGGATCAGGGCTGGATGCTGAGGATTTCCAAGTCTGGCTCTGGGTTAGATGGTGGCCTTAGGTGGGTGCAGTGGAAATGGAGGGGGTGATGGGGGCAGGAGGACAAGATTCACAGGGTGTGGTGAGGGTCTGGGTGGAGAAAGACAGGGGGTTGGTGGCGGTTTGAAACCCAGTGCCTAGAGGTGGAGCCTCTCGTAGAGGGAAGGGGGACGTGGTTTCAAAGAAGGGGAGGGGCCTGGACGTTGTCACTCTGAGCTCCAGACAGTGACGGGATGCTCAGATCCCACACTGGAGCCGAGGGTGATGGAGCCCGGCAGCCATTCATGCCTATGTGCCAGGTGAGAGCTGGGGGTTGGTGATCCGGGGAGCCAGTGACATGGGGGGACAGATGCCAGGCTTGCTTGCCTCGGGGAGCAGGAAGAAGTGACAGTGGCAGGGAGAAAGTGGGGGACACAGAGTGTGGGCGACAAGTCCCAGAAGCTCAGGGAAAGGGGGTTGCCAGGGAAGGGCCCACAGAGCTGAATGTTCAGGGGAGAGGGCAGCTAGTGGACACCAGGAACCAGGATGCAAAGAGGGGTGGTGGGGGAAGGAAAGCGAGGAGAGATGGGTGACCTCTGATGAAGAGGGGAGCAGGGCGAGGGGACAGCAGCACGCCTTATAGTAGACAATGCCCCAGGGAGATCCTTCAGTATCAAGCCCTAGGGACATTAGGGCTTGAGTTAACAGCCATGGAGGCTTGAGTTTGGTGACCTCAGCTTTCTATCTGTACACGGGGGTCAATCACCTGCCTCTGAGGACTATGGTAAAGATAAGTTCAGTGAGCTCAGCGGAGTCTGGATAGTGAGGCACACAGAGCCGGAAGTAGGGGCTGCTGGGGTGCAAGGTGAAGGCAGGCGGTGGAAGCAGCAGGGGCCCATGACTGCCCCTGCAGGACACACCTTATGCTCCCTGCTGGTGACGGCTGTGCTAGGGCAGCTCCCTCTTACCAGGCTTCCAAGGGATGGTGAGGGTGAGGGGACAGCCTGATCACGTGTGGGCACCACACATAGGACACGCACCTTGGGAAATCATTCTCTGAGAGAGGCTGAAGCAGAGACATCTCTCGGAGCTGGAGAGGATCTAGACAATGTGAGTCTTCAGCCCAGGGGACCCATCTCAGTATCCCACTTGGGCTGATGGGCCGTCTCCCTGCCAGGAGCTGGTGGCTGAGACCCAGGGTCTGGGAGGAGGTCCCTCGGTTTGAGATGGCTCAGCTGGGATTGTAAAGTCAACGTGGGGTTGTCTGGGTGCAGATGTATGCAAATGTTGCTCCAGCTTGAGGATATTGGAGTGCATGGGACCCCGAAGGCCAAGTCAAGAAAGTCACGGGCAAGTCCAAGCAAAGAGGGGCCATGTCTTCCCGTGAGCCCCTGACATGGATGAGGCCCAGGAGGGGGGAGGCAATGGGGATCCCCTCACAGGGACCAAGCTGACTTCTGTTGCCCAGGACAGCTGTCACACAGTTGCACAAGGGACATCTTCTGTGACTCATGCTCCCTGAGCCATCTCTCTTAATCCCCCCAACTACACTTTGCCACAGGCATCACTTTACAGAGGAAACTGAGACTGGGAGACCACGTGCCCAGCCGGGTCTCAGGTCCCGTGAGTAGACTGGCAAGGGTGTGAGCTGCTTCCCTTCCTGGGCAGGCTTCCTGACACCTGCTCGCCAGCTATCCAGGAGCCCAGGGCCTCCAGGGCTTCTGACAGAGCAGACTAGCTCAGGCCATGCCCCATCCATGCCTACTGCACTCTTGAAAGGCGGCCACTGCCTCTTTGAGTTAATTTGAACTCATTCTCATTTAATTACCAATGGATCCCTGGGGTTCAGTTGTAAGAACTTCAAGTGCATGGAATAACTTGGGCATAAGATGCTACCTTTTCAGCTGTAAGTTTTGTGAAATCTACATACAGATCACATATTTCAGATGGAAACTCAGCACCCAAATCGAAGTGTGCTGTCAGCGTAAAATACGCACAGATTGCAAAGACTTAGAAGGCACAGGAACCAATCAAAATATCCCATTAATACTTTTATATTGATCGTATGTTAAAAGGATAACATTTTGGCTACGATGGTTAAATAAAACATACTAACAAAATTAATGTCATCTATCTCTTTCTACTTTGTAAAAATGGGCCTTCTGGAAGGCCAGCCCTGAAGCCTGGTGGTGAAGGGAGTGAGATACCACATAGTGGACTGTGGTTCGAGTCCTGGTCCTGGAGGCTTGAAAACCACACTGGATGCATGCGTGTGCTTGACGAAGATCCTGATAGGATAGCAAAATGGGGAAGAGGCTATGGCATGATCAACCCCATTGAGGATGCTTTCTCTCCCTCCCTTTTCCTTCCCCTCTCTCTGGCAAGTACATGTGCCCATCAGTAATTCTAAAAAAAAAAAAAAAAAAAGGCTAGGGCCAGCAGGTGGCGTGGAGGTCACGTGGCCGGATCCCACATAGCTGACTTCACAGTTTGAGTTCTGGACTCAGTGGCTTAAAGATCATGCCAAGCAGGTGTGTGTGTGTGCCCAAAATCTCAAGAGGAGAATGGAGGAGAAGGGATTGCATGGCCATTTTCTCTGGGGGGTGCTTTCTTTTTCACCTTCCCTGTGTGGCTCTCATATATATATATTCCATGGGTGAGAGAGACAAAGTGAGAGACAGAGAGACGGCACCCCCAACAGAGTCTTGATACTAGTTCCACGCCCAGTCTCAGTGAGCCCTGACCATAGGCCTGCGTGTGCCTGGTGTACTCAGGAGGTCTTTGGACATGAACCTGGAACCTTCCCATGTGGGCTGGCCTCGCAGAGCATCGCGTCTTACTGCTGCTCTGGTGTCTGTCCCCGCAGTCTGTTTCCATGGGACAGTGATGCTCTAAGGAGGAGCATGGGGTCCCCACAGGGTCTGCGGAGAACCTGAACTGCCTCAAGCCATGGAGAGGTGGAGAAGGGATGAGGCGGGGCGAGGCTTGGGTTTGGGGTGGAGGCTTAGGCGAGACAAGTGGGGGAGCTGGAGCTGGCAGTGGGCGAAGTGGCAATTGCTCCTTACAAATTGGCTGGCTGGCTGGCAGGCAGTTAGAGGAACAGGGATTTGAAGTGCAGTCACTCGTGGGAGGAGAAATTAGCTAAAAATCAGCAGGTTCTGCTCTCAATCCAGCACGAATCACCACGTGGGAGCTGGTGGGGAGGGACAGTGGGGGAGGGGCATAACTGGGTGTGGCTGGGCAGGTGGAGGGGTACAGAGGGGCCGGCAAGAGGGCTGGGGGTGGTTTGAGACAGAGTAGAAGATGAAGGACTCCCACAGTCACCCCAGTCAGTAGATGGGTTTGATTCCTGGAAGGAGGCGCACCGAATGGAAGGCTCCCAGACTGCGGGTCTCAGGGTAAACTGAGACACCCTGGACATGCCTGGTTGGACCTAGACCGGGAACCACTTGTCTCATTGACATTGCCTCATCCTGGGTCCCATGAGACCCTGGACACAGGAATCTCATCCTGGAAAATACACGGGAAAGCATCTTCCTTCGACAACCAAATTCCCTTTTCCTCCAATGACAGCAGCCCCAGGTCACAGGCTGGCCCAGTGACAGGTCACACCTGGATCTCTCCCTCATGCACCCAGGTTTCTTTTGGGGCAGTGTGAAACTTGCGATGGAGGAAGGAGATACCCAGGAAGATGTGAGGGGGTCCTGCTAGAACTCAGAAGGTTCTGGAACGGGAATGGCAGGGGCTGGGAGTGTTCTGGGCTCTGGCAGATGGAGGATGGGATCTGAGGACAGACGGAGGAGGTCCCATGTGGGTCTGGACCCCTGTCTTGCTGCTGGTGGGTGTGCACCAGCACGGCCGTGAATGATAAATGACACTTGCTTTGGGAGCTGGCAATCTGCTGATGTGGAGGACAGGAACATCTGGCTCCCAGCTCATGCCTACTCTGGGATGCCACCCACCCTGGCTGCCCTGCCCGCCTTCTCTCTCCTGCAGATGGAGCAGGAGGGGCTGGTCGGCAGGGGAGAATCAGGGATGGAGGACATCCCAGCATCCCCGTCACACGGAGACGCCTGGCTTCTATCTTGGCTGAACCAATCGATGGGACTTCAAAACATTTGTGGAAAATGGAATTCAAGTGTGAACTTATTTTGGTGCAAAATTTTTGGAAATGCATAGTTTTTTTCATAGCATGCATTTTCCACGAACTTATTTTTTTCGATGCCACTTTTGTCAGGATTTGGCATTAGGTCACACTACTCTGCTTTTCAATTGCCAGAAGGTGCTTGCACGCACAGAGAGACAGAGAGACAAAGAAGGAGAAAGCCTCTTCCCTCTGCTCACCCCAATGGGGCGTGTTCACGCCACAATCCTTCTCCATTTCTCCATCCTGTAGGGATTTGGGGCATGCATGCACATATGCTTGGCATATTTTTCAAGCTCCTGAGCTGGGATTCAAACCCATGGCTTGCTATGTGGGATCCCACTCCCTTAACCACTGGATTAAAGTGCTAGCCCTTTACGAATTTTCTGAAGATCCCTTATATTTCCTTCCCAAAGGGCCCAGAAGAAGTCTGCCTTCATGTCCCTGCCCTTGTGTCCTGCCGCTGTGTGGGGAGCTTTCCTGGGGAGACTTTGCCCACCTTCCCAGTGAGCTGGGGGTCTGAGGAAGGGCAGAGGGCATGTCCAGTTCGGAGCCCGGGTGGGGGGCCTCTTTCTCCTCAGTGGGGCCCCCCTGGCTCTGAGCGGAAACGGCACTTTCCACACACCAGCTGAGCAGAGGCAGTTGGAGTATTTCTCTAAAAACAAGCTTCCGATCTCCTGCATGCTTTCCTGGCCAGCACCTGATCGGAGGTGGCTGTCATCCACACATGCCCATACCCCTCCCAAGGCCCTGGTGGCCCTGCTCACAGTCACGCTCAGGGTTCCCTCCATTGCTGGATCTCAGACTCGGCATGGTGCAGGCCCAGAACTCAGCTCCCTCCTGGTCTCTGCCTGGAACTCCAACCCCCGCCACGCCTCCTCCTCCTTAGGAGGGCCCCTCCCTTGAAGTCCCCCAGCCTCCTGCCACCCTCCCACCAACCATTCCATCTTCCTAATGACCCCCTGGAGCACCATTCCCAAGATTTAATAACCCGTTCCGTGATCGGTCCCCGGCCCCGCCGCTTACTTACTCTCCACGGCGAGAGTGATGGGCTGGCTGGTCTTGTTATCGCCGTTCTTGTCATTAACAGCCTGCACGTAGTAGCGGCCTGCGTCGGGAGCCACCGTTGACAGGATGACAAGGGGGTTCTCCAGCGTGATGGCTCTGGGGAGAGGAAAGCATTCCTCTGACAGCAGCCC